TGGTTTTGAACAGGTACATTACCGAACAGGTACTTCTGGTACCGTAATCCCCCGTATATAAGACCCGCCGAAATAGTCAGCCCGTGGGTGGCATATGCGGGGGATAGCTTATGATATGGCGCATTTTTTAGAGCACCCGTTTTTCTGGGTTTGCATTTTACATAACATCCTGCTCGTTTTTCTTGCGTTTAAATAGTATTCGGTCCTTCATTACCAAGGTTCGCTCAGCTGCAAAAAAACGAGCAGGATGAAAATCGCGTCAGTTGCCATTCGCAGTGCAAAGACGGGCAGAAGAATCAATACAAGTGGCAAAATGAAATCGAAAGACAAGAAGTGTCGAGAGGATCTTGACCGTCCATCTTGCTGTTGAGCCACCTCGATCGCGTCAGCAATTGTCGTGACTGTGTTTACAGCACTCATACGAGATTGGTCAATGACACCTGGCACTGCTGCTGCATCAATCTCCCACCGTTTTCAGAGGCACCAAATTGACCCTGTCAGAGTACGCAATCTCTGTAGCAGATTCCTCGTTAGCAGATGCTCGGTGAAGTTTTGGCCTCAGAGTGCGTGTTACAACCCAAATTCATTTTGCATTTTACATAAGACATGGGCGTTATATTTTTCCAGCCTATTGTTAACACACATACGTTTTTTTAATGAAATTTTTACAATACCCTAGGGTGTTATATGCGGGGGAATACGGTAGATATAAAAGTTGCTTGTATGACTTCAATTATTAACTTGTTCTATAGTAAATTCTGGTCAACACTTACAAGTTCTAAGACTTCCGTTGTCTTACTAGTCTACCATTCCAGCAAAGATCCTTGTTTAAGACTTGAAGTATTGCAAGACTGTAATATTGATTATGGTGTTACAACTTGTTAATACTGGTTGTTACTGGAGGTACTCCTAGTACCGTATTCCCCCGGATAAAACACCCGCCGGAATCGATCACCCATGGGTGGTTTGGGCAGACCTGGGTGCTTTATTAGACTGGATATTCATACCATCCTATTTTTTGGCATGAAACTTATACACCACCCCCTGGTTCCCTTTCTATGGATTTCAGTAGATTTTGTCTCTTATCAGAGTGTCTCTTATTAGACTCGCGCGTCACTGAGCAGTGCAAGCTCGACGCGAAGTGGTTCAATGCGGTGTAGAACTGTTACCATGCCTGGAATTCCCGTCACTCAGGCGAATGTTGCGAGTCTGATACTGTACGAGGCTCATGGGAACACGCTCCTCACAGTCAACACTGCAGTGCGGGAGAATCCATGTCAGTCGGCCCTGGTTGGGTCGTGAAGGAATTTGCAGCAGATTCCTTCCTTTTTTGGTGCGCTGTCACATTGTGGCGTTGAGGTTGCCACTTGCCACCATGATTTGACAGAACGTGACAAACTGTGACGCAGGCAACCTGTGACTGTTTGCCTGCAACGTGGCATGACGATGGTCCTCCTCACCATATACGCGATCACGTGCAAGAATCGTCAAATTTTGGCACAAAAGAACTGTCTACAACACAGTTCAATTCCAGTTCATAAACATAAAAGTGTCATTCCATAGCCCTCGGACGTTATGCCAAAATGTGTCATTAATTATACCCCCTCCAAATTTTACATGGATTTTTCCTAACACCCCTGTGTGTTTTATCTGGGGGAATATGGTATTACTTTCTACTTCAAGTACTTGTGACGGAAGATTCTATACTTTCAAGTTCTATCAAAACTCGCAAAAACTCGCGACAGATACAGCTGTCCGTTCCCGGGGGGAGGGCATGGCACGACCAATCCAGGCCGTCCAAAGGAAGGGATCGAGCGGAGTAGAGGCGCACACGCTATCGTAGTTGTAAGAGCTAATCATATCTATCTCCTGGACAACCGCTGTGCAGCCTCAGGCCCTCCAGCCATCCCTCTCTTAAACTTAGGACACTAGCTTCTTAAGCTTATGATACTAGCTTGGCTAGGAAGCTAAGATACTAGGAAAGGCCGCCATGGAATGGCGGGAGGAAAGTAGATCTAGGAAGGTAAGGAGAAAAGTGTCGAGAAAGAAGAGAGTCGATTAGGAAGAGAGAGAGGTACAAGGAGGGGATTGTACCCTCTACAGAAAGTTTCAGTAACAACTATCAAGCCTATGAATTATATACAACTTATATAATCTTGACACATCCCCTAGGCTTGATAGTCACACACCCACCCAACACACCCCCTAGCCCCGCACACCCTCAAACTCGTGCTTAGCCGGGTATCTGACCCTCGTGCTAAGCGTTGACACCCCCGGGCGAGAGGCAGCCTACGGCATCTAGCGGCTCAGCGACAAGCAGCGGCGGAGCTCTGGCTCAAGGCGGCTGTGTCGCTGACGGCAGGCGGCGACTGTCGCGGCTGAGGGCTCTCGGCGGTGTGACAACGTCCGGGCAGAAGACAGCTGCTGCAACAGGAGGAAGGGAAGACGCAGGGGGAAGGGACGAGTCTTCAGCGACGCGCCATGAGTGGCGCGGCGCTTACTGGCAGGAGGGCGGGCAGGTGGCGGTTACGACGGCGTGCTGCCCGCTGCCGCCCATCGACACTGCCGCGGCAGCATGACGACGCCGCCAGAGCGCGGCGTCGACGATGTGGCGGCACGCCGACGCTGCAACGGCAGCAAGGTGACGCTGCCACGGCAAAGCGGTGACGCCACCACGGCAGGGCGTCGAGGATGCGACGGCCGCACGACGAAGCCGCCATGACAGGCCGGCATGGCCGCCACGGCGGGAAGGCAGTGACGAGAGAAATGCGTAGCGGAAGCGACGGCACGACAGCGCGACGAGACGGCCGCGGCATGACGCGGCCAGCGGCACGACACGGGTGCCATGGCAGCGCGAGAAGCGTGAGTAGGCGGTCCAGCAGGGAGGACCTCCTGCTCTGATACCATCTTAAACTTAGGACACTAGCTTCTTAAGCTTAGGACACTAGCTTGGCTAGGAAGCTAAGATACTAGGAAAGGCCGCTATGGAATGGCGGGAGGAAAGTAGATCTAGGAAGGTAAGGAGAAAAGTGTCGAGAAAGAAGAGAGTCGATTAGGAAGAGAGAGAGGTACAAGGAGGGGATTGTACCCTCTACATAAAGGTTCAGTAACAACTATCAAGCCTATGAATTATATACAACTTATATAATCTTGACACCCTCCTCCTCCCCCCCCCCGAAAAAATATCTCGGGCAGACGGAAGCGACTAGCCTAAGAAAGTGCTATGAATACCAGATGTTATGAGTGGGAATGGAACAACCACTCAATAATGTGAATAGAACCTCCAAAAATAATGTGTCCACAAGTGACGAGCGAACTGGCTAAAATGGGGCTCGGACGTGCTAGGACTAGCTAGGGCGAGGACCTCGTGACGTGAATAGTTTGGTTGGGTGACGAGGGTGTCGGAAACGAGACTCGGGGAGGTTTGGGCCGACAATAATGGCCGTGTAATATATTGACAGGTGTCGCAGGAGACGAAGTATAGAATCTGCAAACACGAACACTTGGAAAAACCTCAAGTGTTAGCCTAGGATCTTTACTGGAATGGTAGACTAGTAAGACAGCGGAAGTCTTGTAAGAGTAAACCTGAGTATATGTTTATGCAGAAGTTAAGTCTCAAAGTTCTCAAAGTTGATATCTCAAGGTTAGTAATAAAAAGAACATAACAAAGATTTATAGCTCTATGAAACTACCTGTTCGCTAATGTACCTGTTCGTCACTATCGCACTATGCGCCCTAAATGATAATGAAGAGGTGCGACTATTCGCGTGACTGAAACGACTGTCCTATGACGGGCGCTATTTGTTGACGTCATCCTGCGGACTTATCTTCTACAGTAAGATTCGACACTATCTATCGATAAACGACTCACAGAAATGCTAAGTATGAAATATACCACAACAGGCCGAACCTGCGAGTTCGAGGTCTTCGGGTTTACGCGCTGTAGTTTAACGCAATAAGGAATGTTAATTCCTTACACGAAGATTTTGAATGTAACAGTGTCTGCACTCGGAATCGGAATGTTCGAAGGCTACCTTGTGGTTGTGGGCGTCCTTGTCGGGTATGTAGTGTCGGTCAGGGCGTGTCCAGCGCGTTCGTTTACTATTCACTTTGCGGATCAGGTACAGGATTCTGTCCTGGTAACCCGAAATTTCGTGTCCGTTCGGACACGCACGATAAATTGACGGTTTCGGCGGACACCTTCCAGACGTGCCCACAGACGTTGCAACACGTTTCCGAACCGAATGAAAATCGTGCGCAAATTATGTACACGGCAGAAACGTCCAAATCCTGGCTGGCGAAAACTAGAACGATTACATTCGCCAGGATTTCGTGACGCTTGCGAAGCACGACGAAAAAAGCGGAAGAAGAATTGGAGTTGCATGCGCGACTCGACTGATATTTTCGCGTGGCGAAATTCCCAGGGCGAAATTTGGTTACCCTGATGTTTTCGCGTGTCAGTCTGTTATGTGCGCGCTGCGCACCCGCTCATCTGTCGAGCCACGGGCGGGACTCGTGTCCACTCGTGCCCCAGCGTTTTGCTGTTGATACAGTAGGTGTACAACAACAGATTCACACTTGGCGAATCAATATTTCTGCGTGTGAAAAAAACGTCAAAAATTCGTCTTGGGGCAAAATGAACGCGCTGGACACGCCCTCAGTGTTGATGGTCGGGTTTTCCTCTTGTCGTGACATTGACGACTTGTTGGATCTTCAGCCAGCTCCAGAAGGCTCAGTGCGCCTTGCCCTCAGCAGCCAATAGCGCGAAAGCATTCGTTCTGACAACACCGACCCCGTCGACATCTTGCGAACAGGGATTACGCTACCTCGTCACACAGAACCTTCACGTGGGCGAAAATCTTATGGAAAACCTTTTTCGCCAGGTACGACCTTGGGATTCCATTCCGCCCACACACAGCACGAACCTTAGAAATCTGCAAGCCTGTGGTGGTGAAGACCTGCGGAAGCAACTCAGCAGCACAACACGAGCACAACGCATCAAGGCAGTCGCTAGAAACAGACAACTACGAGAACCACTAGAACCATGAGAAGGGTACACCATCGATACCTGCAGTGGTCTGTTCGTTGGACTCAGCAATCGCCTGTGCTTCCATTTTGAGTTGGCTTTCTTGGCTGGTGGACCTTCCTGTCTTACTGTCTTTATTAGCCTGGAGACGCACCTGAAGAGCAATTCTTTTGGCTTGAAACGATCGGTCTGCGTGGTTTGAGGCACGCGAGATGTGTACAGCAACTAATGATAGGCTTTGTGCACGGATAGGCCAGCCAGGACCGTCCACTTTGGGTCTTTCATCAGTGGTGTACCGTCCCCTCACCTAACGGGACTTCTTTGGATTCTCACTGATAGATTAGCTTAGATTCTGAGTCGACTCAAATGCAGAGCTAGCTTAGGCGATGAATTCCATGATATCTCCGAGGCAAGCTTCAGAACTGGTTGGTTTCTAGGAAGCTTTCTGACGAGGCTTCAACAGCCGGTAGAATTCATGGCTGCCGAGGAAGGGGACAATGCAGCCGATGAAAGCTCGTCAACCACCCGAGAATCCGACGAACACGACGACGAACATCACGACCCGCTAACATCATCATGCCCCGAGCCGCCGGTTCAGCGTCGTTCGCCGGCTGCTGGAGGATCAGGAGATCTTGAAGGATCACGAGATCTTGAAGGATTAGGGGATCTTTACGGATCACGGGATCATGAAGTATCACGTGATCCTGAAGGATTAGGGGATCCTGGAGGATCACGAGATCGTGGAGGATCACGAGGTCCGGGACTGGGAAGAGCACCTGGGGGATCACCGGGGCTTCAACGTTTTGGCATGAACAGATCTCGTCATCAGGCTTCAGCCGTTAGCAGCTGTAGCAACGGCAGCAGCAGCAGCAGCAGAAGCAGCAGCAGTAGCGCTCCCGACAGTGGCCAAGGCGGTCCCGTCAGGCCGACTGATCATGCTAGAATCACAAGTAGTGCTTTTGTCCCGAGTCGGAGCCCTTCGCCTATCATGCAAGATTCACAAGTCGTTCAGAATCCGCGACAGTGTCAATGGGCCTCCAGCCAGGCTCAGCAGTCCAGTTATGGCTGCCAGCGCTGCTGAGAGCCATCCGCAGTGCGGGTGCTCGCCAATGCATCTGGGGTCGCCGCTGCACCTGGAATGCACCGCCAGGGCCTGCTCCCGCGGTCCTGCAACCGCTAACCACGAATTCCCTGGCCGAGAACCCCCTTATCCAGAATTCTCTGACCGAGTAACTCCGTATCGAGGATTACCGTACCGAGGATCCGCTTATCAGGAACCTTCTTATCGAGAATCTTCTCTCCGAATTCTTCTTGATGGGGGATCCCCGGGCCGGAAATTCCCAAAATCGTCAAATCGAGAATCGTCGAATCTAGAATGGTCAGATCACGAATCGTCAGACCGAGAATCGGCTTCCCTGCTACAAGCGATTCTCGCTGATGACGCACCCATGCTCAACGGACGCCGCACCGAGGACCACCCCCCTCCGAGGGTACCCAATGCTCCGAGTCGGAGCACGCAGAGCTGGCGTGATTGCCACCACAGATACGTGCAGAGGGTGCGTCTGTTAGTGCAGAGCTTTTTTACCCGCAGCAGATGGTGGTGGGTGTGGCGGCGGACAGCAGGGTTTCTGATCCAGAAGAATGACGCGCTAGCTGTAGCGGTCAGAGGGCACGCCTGGAAAGGCGCACACCAGAAAAGGCGATCGCGAGACTCATCATGGGGAGGGTGGAGATTTCTGGGCGGAGGGGGAGGAGAGGGGAGGTGGGGAGGGGGAGGGAAAGGCGCGAGTGTGGACAGGATACTGGCGATCGTGGCGGTGGTGCTGTTCGTCTCGAATTACTACCTCCTCTCCTCGCGCATGGAGGGGGCTGCGTGGAGCAAGCACGCGAGAGGTGATCATGGCGTGAGGGCGAGGAGCGAGCAGCAGGAGGCGGAGGCGGAGGTGGAGGGAGTGGGTGCTGCTCGGACGGCGGACTCGCCAGTCCGACCTTGGTACGACCACTGCTCTCACTGTGACAGGCATGAGAGCCATGAGAGCCATGAGAGCCATGAGAGCCATGAGAGCCATGAGAACCATGAGAACCATGAGAACCATGAGAACCATGAGAACCATGAGAACCATGAAAACCATGAAAACCATGAGTACCATGAGAACCATGAGAACCATGAGAACCATGAGAACCATGAGAACCATGAGAACCATGAGAACCATGAGAACCATGAGTACCATGAGAACCATGAGAACCATGAGAACCATGAGAACCATGAGAACCATGAGAACCATGAGAACCATGAGTACCATGAGAACCATGAGAACCATGAGAGTCATGAGAACCATGAGTACCATGACAGCTACCACAGCCATGACAGCCATGAGCGCCACAAGCTCATCGGCACAGTCTCCCAACACGTGCCTCGGCTTGCTGAAGCGTCAAGCAACCACACATGCCCCCCCGCCCCCCTCCTCCCACCCTCCCAACCCGACCCGACCCCACTCCACCCCCCCCTCCTGGCCGCTGTGCTGCAGGACGGGAGCGGCCAGGCATGAACGGGACGAGTGGCACCAGCATGCTTTGACTCAAACCCCCCCCCCACCCCCACTCCCCCTCCTGCCCACTGTGCCGCAGGGGACACGCGCGCAGGTATGAGCGAGGCCAGTGGTACAGGCATGCTTGGACTATAAAGCCCCCCACCCACCCACCCACCAACCCACTTACCCTGCCCTCTGTGCCGCAGGGGACGAGCGCGCAGGTATGAGCAAGAAAAGTGGTACGAGCGAACCTTCCACACCATCCCGGGCACTCTCCCGCGCCCTGCCTGGAACGCATCGGATGACTCCTTTCTCAACTCCCTGGTACGCGCCTCTTACTCGCCCTGCACGGCCCTCTCACAGCCTTCATTGCATCACCTCTTGGATCCACGCATCCCTCTGCCTACCATTCCCTCTGGCTACCATTCCCTCTGCCTACCATTCCCGCTGCCTACCATTCCCTCTGCCTACCATTCCCTCTGCCTACCATTCCCTCTGCCTACCATTCCCTCTGGCTACCATTCCCTCTGCCTACCATTCCCTCTCCCTAACATTCCCTCTGCCTACCATTCCGTCTGCCTACCATTCCCTCTGCCTACCATTCCCTCTGCCTACCATTCCCTCTGCCCTCCATACTGGAAAGATCCCTTTGCTATCCCGCCTTGCTGTAGCATCCAACGGGCGTTGCATGCGTGCTGTTCATTCGTGCCTTACCCCGCCTTGCTCTGTCCCTTGTTCTTCAATGCAGGACGGCAGGTGGCACGTGCAGCCGTACTCGTCGCAGCCAGGGGTGTATCTGCTGCAGCAGCCCACGGACTTTGCATGCGTGCTGCTCATTCAAGATGCGTGCTACCTCTACATGCCAGGTATTGGGTGCTACCTCCCTCCCCTGCCACTTCTACAGAAACGGTTCTGGGTAGTACCCTCCCCACGTGCCACCTCTACAGAAAAGGTTCTGGGTACTACCCTCCCCACGTGCCAAATCTACATACCAGGCCACACCTCAGTGTGTTTTTATCACAAGGCGGCGTCTGCTTTGTTCCAGCATAACTATCCTCCCCCCACCTTCCCTCCCCCCTCCTGTGCGCTTTTCTAACCCCAGCCTAACTCTCCTTGCATCACGCTCCTCTTCTCTCCCTCGCCTTGCCGCCCCCCCCTCTCCCCACCACTTGCTTTTTCTGTGTCATCACAGGAAAGTCGCGGCACCACCAGCCCCACACAGGCATCCGGTTCGCCAGGGATCGAACCCGCGACCTCTCAAAAATATCCATAGTCAACAACGTGTGCCACCTGTACAGTGACAGGCTGGCAGAAGCGCAGTACGAGTCCTGGCTGGAGCTGAGCTGGCATGAGCTGGCAGCCGCCCTGCAGAGAGAATCGGCTCTTGGGAAGGGGGTGAAAGGGGGGAGGAGGGAAGTGGAGGAGGGAGAAAGAGGAGAAACAGGGCGAATGCAGGGGAGAGGTAAGGGCAGGGAATCCGGAGGGGAAAGTACAGGGCAGAGGAGAGGAGCAGGGCGAGTAAGTGAGGGGGAATCAGGGGACGAGTTGACTGACGGAGGGGGGTTACGCCAAGGCATGACAGTGAACGATCTGGAGGAAGTCGCTCGGGTGTATGCAGAGGCAGGGAGGAAGCGCAAGCAGAGGATGGCTGCTGCTGCTTCTTCTGGTGCTGGTGCTGGTGCTGTTGCCTTTTTTAATGGTGCGGCAGGAGGAGAGGAGAGTATGCAGCAGGGCAGCAGCAGTACCAAGGGCAGCGGCAACGGCACATGGGTGGGGCACCACCCCAGCGTGCCTTACTCCATGCTCCTGCCCGAGCTGGGGTACTCGCTAGAGGCTCTAGATGCCCCAGATAGGCCGCTAGAGGAGGTGAGCTTCAGGGACCCCAGTGATGACTGGAAGACGCCAGGGGCTGGCCGGAAGGAGAGCGGGGAAAGGGCAAGCGAGGGGAGGAGGAGGAAGGGGGCCGTGAAAGGTGGGCCTGGAAAAAAGAGCTCTGAAGTGGCTCAGAAAGGAGGCAAGGCGAGCGAGGGGGACGGGAAGAGTGTGAAAAGTGGTGGGGCTGGAAAGGAGACCCGAAGAGAGGTGCTCTTGGGTGGGCGGAGGAAGCTGCTGGGAGCCTGGGAATCAAGACATCGCCACAGCCAGGGGCCACGTAGACGCCAACCCCACAGCAGCAGCAGCGAAAACACCACCACCAGATACAACCTTCCCTGGATGCTGCCTCTGCAGCCTCCCCACATGGCCATGGAGAACCTAGTGGACGGGTTCGACCAGGAGCCGGACGAACAACCCCATGTGGACCTCTCGGACCTGAAACGCCGCTCCAAGCACACCTATGGGCGCCTGGTGAGCCACCTGGGGATGACGCGGTACGTGAATGGGAGTGAGAGAGGGAGCAGGGAGCGGCTGGTGAGACAGCTGGCCGGGAGATTGATGTGGGTGGGCGTGGTGCCGCGGTACGGGTCGGCTGTGGGCGAGTTTGGGCGCGCACTGGTGCCCCTGATGGAGGTGGCTGGGCACCTGGAGGCCTCGTTAGAGTCACGGGCAGAAGGAGAGGTAGAGGCAGCTCCTGGAATGTAGCAGTCAGGACGGAAAGAATCGGCGTAGCCGCAGCCAGGGAAGCAGCGTGCACAGCAGCGAAGCCAGCTGCAGCAGCAGCAGAGGCGAAACCACCAGCAGCAGCAGCCGCAGCAGCAGCAGCAGGAGAGGGTGGTGGTATTTTTCCCTGGAGACAACTCCATTCGCTGCCAGTGGACTGTGGAGGCCGCTCAGCTGCTGTTCAGTGGGCGCACACGGGTGCAGGCAGGCAGAGTGGCGGGCCAAAAGGCGAGACAGTCATGGGCGGGGTGGGTGGGGAGGGAGAGGGAGAGATATAGAGTAGTCTATGGAGGAGCAGGAGGAGCAGCACCAGCAGCACTCACTTGCACTGATGCTGTTGTCCTATTCGCCATTCACCCTCGAACCAACTATCGCCACATCTACATCCCACCACATGTGCTTTCAGAACCGGCTTTGCCCCATAAGCAAGCTGCATGTCCTCCACCGTTCATTCATCCCTCGTACTCTCGTCCCCCACACCCCCCCATTCCGCCAGGTGTGCTTCCATATCCTGCTGCTGCCGATAAACAAGCTGCACCGCTGCCACCGGTCATATATCCCCCAATACTGACTCCCCCGCCTCCCCTTCCCACTCCCCCTCCCTCCTGCCAGGTGTGCTTCCAGAACCTGCGCCTCCCAATCAACAAGCTGCACCGCCCGCACAGCGCTGACCTCACTCGCCGCTGCGCCTCTCTTGCTGCCCGCACCAGCACTGAATCCCAGGAACGAGCACCCTTTCCGCCCCATTCCTCTCACCCCACCAGTTCTCACGCCCAGCCCCTCCAGAGCGACCCCCAAGCCTCTGCTCCCCCCAACACTTCGCCCCTATCCGCCAGCAAACAGCCTGCTGCCAGCCCACATGAGCCTTCTGAGTCTCCACAACCCTCCTCTACCCAGAGTTCCTCCCCCCCACCTTCCCTCCCTCTTCAGCCACAAGCTGTGGCGCCTGCAGCTGTGTCCTCGTTACAAGCCTCCTCCTCTCTAGGGCTTGTGAGTCGCAAAAAAATCCCCTTGATGCAGGGCCTCTCAGGCCTCACGGGCCTGCAGGGAGATGCAGTGATGCGGGGAGGGAAGGAGGAGGGCGGAGGGGTGGAGATAGGTGGAGGTAAGGAAGAAGGGAAGGAGGCGAGTGGGAGTGTGAGGAAAGTGGAGGTAGATGAGCTAGGAGTTGCAGGTGCTGTGAGAGGGAGAGTACTTCTGAAGGTTGGTGGTGCACACATGGAGATAGGAGCACCAGGAGCAATGATTGACTCTTCTCAGGGGCGCTATGAGAATAAATTGCAAGTGCGCCCAGCGGTGTATGAGAGGAGAATACCGCCAAAGCTTGCCATCCATGGCTCTCCAGTGGAGCGGCTAGCTGCGGGTGTTGCTGCCCTCCCTTTGGGTGACAAGCGCCGCATCGCCGCCCTGGCAGATCCACTGACTGCCGCAGCCGCAGCAGCAGCAGCCGCGGCAGGAGGAGCATCAGCAGGAGGAGCAGGAGCAGGAGGAGCAGGAGCAGGAGCAGGAGGAGGAGGACGAGGGGGAGGAGGAGGGCGGCACAGAGACGCGGCTTTAGGGCGTAGCGAGGTAGTGGGGCAGAAGCAGAGAGGAAGCAGCAGCAAGGGAACAAGCAGGGAGAGCACGAGAATGGGAAGGAGAGAGAGGAGGAAAGGGAGGGGTTGCAGGGAGAGGAGGGGGATCCAGTGGCTGATGCTGAAGCGGAGGCAAGACAGGAGCTGGATGACTCTTTCGACCAGTACACAGAGCAGCTAAAGGACAACGATAATGGCCTTCCTACCGAAACCAACTTTCCCACTAACTCCACCCTCACTCTCCATAGTCTTGGTACTGCTGGGTCTGGCGTAACAGCAGCTGAGGCCCCTGCTTCGACATCTGCAGGAATCTTGCCGCCGATGCTGCCCCGACAGAGAAGTTTGTACTTCCTGCCCGATGGGGATGGCTCGGGCATGTCTGTGGGGAGCACAGAAGTAAAATCCTGGCAGGTGACTGTAGTGCAGAGTGACAATGTGGAGAGGGTGAGGAACCAACAGGAGGTGGTGGCCCTCGTCAGAGAGTTTTTTCCGGAACTGCCGATAGCAATGGTGCGGCTCGGGAATGCGTCACTCCATGATAAAGTGACAATAATGGAGGTGAGTGGGCCTTGTGCCATGTGCTCCTAGCCATCCCAGTGTAATGCACTCCGAATCTGTCTTCTTTGCACTCGTCCCCCTCACTTCCCGCCGTTCCCTCACCCCACCTCGGTTTCCGTAACCCTTTTCACCCACTCCCCCCCTCCCCGCGCCCCCTTCTCCCTTCAGCGCACTCTCCTCCTCGTTGCAGTCCATGACCCCCTGCTCTCCACTGCACTCTTCTTCCTGCCACGTGGTGCTGTCGTATTGGAGCTTTTCCCTTTGAAACTCTTTAGCACACAGCACAGGAAGTTGGCACTGCGCTCGGGAATACACTACATGTCATGGAGAAACTGGTTTCGCTACAACGCATTTTTTAGAGGGAATTGCCTACGACGGCTGGGATACACAGACACAGACGATGATGTCAGTTGGCGAATGAAGGATTGTTTGAAGTGCATTCGGGATAAGAGCATGACATGGGTGGCTGGGAGGGACCTTTTGGAGTTGTTAGCTAATGTACGGGTGCTATTGTCGCGGCAATTACCACGGAGTGCCTTGTATAAGTAGAGAGTAGCTACATAAAGTGTTTACACTTAAGCTCGCCTTAGTATATGGTGGAAACTATGCCCACATTGGGTTTACTCTTCATTAGCGAGTATTGGGCGCAAAGTGTCGGTGGGCACCGAGCCACCAGAACCTGCTCTACTGCCGCGTGTCTGAGAGAGCAACTCTGCGAATAACAACGAAACTGGTAATGAGTGAAATGGAAAGTCTAGCGAAGAAATTCAGCTGGCGAATTTTGACGTGTCACAGTCGCCCACCACGCACGATTCCCTTCGTCAAGCCACAGTTGTTTGTTCGAACCAGCGTGGTAATTTATGATTGGACGATATTCACGATGCGGTGCTCCACAGTGTTCGTCACAGAGAAGTGGTGCTGGAAAGGGCAGTGTGTGGCGCGTGATGTGGCTTGCTAGCAAGGGGCACGGTACGAAGCGCAGATACACGCTGGAGATATTCCGAAGCGCGAATGTTGCATTTGAGCAACAGAGCTCATCAATCTGAACCGATACCAACATACCAGAGACCAGGCACAAACAAGCGAAACCTAGCACGACCGAGCAATGAGGAAGCATGCCATTGTCACCTCTCTCTTCCATTGTTATGGTTTCATCCTGATGCCTTGCGGCAAAAAAGACAGCTCACCAGACCACTCAGGAAGCAAGGAATGAAGTCTCGCTTCCATACCTCGCTGCACCTCAGCTGTCGACCCCGCATTGCCTGCGGCAGGACGAGGGTAGGTAGGTAGGGCAAGGAAAGCAGTCTCTGTACAACCGTCTCAGCAGGCCACACGAAACAACATTTCGCGCCACAGCGAAAGCTAAAGCCGTGAGCCATGCTGAGGCAAAGGGAGACCAGACGACCATGTGCTGTTGTTTCGACAGAAGCGTAGGCTAGTAACGGGTCGTAGTCGCTTGCAGCTATTCCCGCAGTAGCCTACTGACTTGTTTCCATTTGTTTTGGTCGTCGGGAGCTGCTCATAAGGGTCTCAGCCTGCCCCTTCCCCAAGACTCTCGTCTCTTTAGGACTAACCTGCACAAAGCCGCACCGTTTCCTAGCGTTTCGTATCGTAAATCTCACGATAATAAGTTCCTTCAGATATTACTTTGCCCCATATTTATTTACTAATAGCTGCAGTCTGTTGATCACCCACGCCGCTACCCAGTTATCCGCCATGCTAGTACCCCGCAGCATACACCGCCCGTCACAATGGCGCGCTCTAACGAGGCTCCCCGCTTCCTTCTCCTCCTGGAGCATAGCCATCGTGGCGCTCTTGCTGTCCGCCACGTATGCATGGACTGCCGATAGTCACTCGCTTTCCCCGCGCTCGCTTTCCGCTCGCTCACTTTCCGCCCACTCCCGTTCCGCGCGCGCGCTAGCGACGGTGGAGGTGGAGTCGACCGCGGGGCCCGGCTGTGTTAACGCGTTCCCCGCGAAGCCGCTGTGCAAATTCGTCGACAGCCTCGCGTCGCGCCCCATCCCCGTGCTCGACGGCGGCAGCGGCAAGACGCTTTCCATCGGCGTGTACCAGACTTACCAGGTGCGGATGCTACTACTAGATGGGGGGAAACCAGAACACTAGACTTCCCTATCATTTGTTCCGCTTCGCTCGGTCCGTCCCATGCAATCGAGCAACCTGAAGGGCCTTCGTGAAAGGCCGTGGTCGAGTGAAAGGCCGTGGACGAGTGAAAGGCCTCTTGCTTATCCAGGAGATGGAAGTGTGACTGTAAACGACTGTGCCTGACAGTCACGTAACTCTACGTGCCCCCAGTGTGCGACTACTATCTCCTGCAGAGGTTCCACCGCGACCTGCCGGCCACGAAGATCTACGCGTATGGCACAATCTAACTGTCATGTCACTGTATGGTGTCCCCTGTGTGCGATTGTATCGTGTCAACTGTGTGTGACTGTACGTGCCCCTGTGTGTGACTATGTGCAGAGGTTCCATCGCGATCTGCCCGCCACGAAGATCTACGCGTACGGCACGAGCCAGAAGACCGCGTCGTACCCTGGGCCAACGATTGTGGCGAAAAAGGGGGTTACCACACGGGTTACATGGTGCAACAGGCTGCAGGACCGGCAGCACATGTTCACCCAGGACTACACTCTCATGGCGCAGATGCCCAAGCCGAAAAAAGGCGGCATCCCCACTGGTGAGAGGAGGGAAGAAGAGAGCGACGGAATGAGAAAAACATCTGTGGGGGTGTTTTTGTTGATGAAAAGAAGAAAGGCGGCATTCCCACTGGTGCGACGAGGGAGATTGAAATGATATGTTTTTCCTCTCTTGCCTGCCTGCCTGCCTGCCTGCCTGCCTGCCTGCCTGCCTGCCTGCCTGCCCCTCAGTGCCCCACCGCCACGGAGGTGAGACTGCAAGCGCGTACGACGGCCACCCGCTCGCGTGGGTCACTCAGTTCGGCGAGCACGGCCCCACCTTCTCCTCCTCGTCTTCCCACTCCCATAACTCCTCTCGCTCCTCCTCCTCCTCCTCCTCCTCCTCCTCCTCCTCCTCCTCCTCCTCCTCCTCCTCCTCCTCCTCCTCCTCCTCCTCCTCCTCCTCCTCTTCCACCGCCACTTCATCCTCCTCGTGCACCGCATATGTGTACCCCAACTTCCAGCCAGCATCGCTCACGTGGTACCACGACCACACGCTCGGCTGGACGCGCCTCAACATTGTAGCGGGGATGGCGGGGCTCTATATCACGACAGACAGCAACGGGGATGAGAGGGGCATGAAGGGCTGGCTGCCCCCCTGGAAGCGCACCGTGCCTCTGGCGATCGCAGACCGGCTGTTCTTTAAGAACGGGTCGATTAACTACCCGAACGTGGGGGTTGATCCTAAAGTGCATCCCAACTGGATTCCGGAGTATGTGGGCGACACCATCGTCGTCAATGGCGTGGTAAGAAAGAGGAGGCTTTATATTAATCTCTTCCGGCTTGTATGGATTCTCTTCCTTCTGTGACAGGGTCGACAACTCCCCCACACACTCATCCCCCTCTCTCCTCCCATGTCTCCTCACTCACCTGTCACCTCACCTGTCACCTCACCTGTCACCTCACCTGTCACCTCACCTGTCACCTCACCTGTCACCTCACCTGTCACCTCACCTGTCACCTCACCTGTCACCTCACCTGTCACCTCACCTGTCACCTCACCTGTCGACTCACTTCACTCACTCCTAAGCCCCATCTGCCCTTCCCCTCCTGCCTGCCTCCCTCCCTCCTTCCTCCCCTTGCATTCACCCCTCCCCCTTATCCTATTCCCTTGCCTCACCTTCCTCCCAATGCTGCAGGTCTGGCCGTACCTCAGAGTCCGCCCAGCCGTCTACCGCTTCCTCCTGCTCGGCGCGTCCAACGCCCGCTTCTTCAACCTGCGCTTCCAGTGCGCCAGCCGGGAGGACTACCCCAACTTCGTGACCCCCCTGCACGGCCGCATGGTCAACTTCGCCCTCATAGGCAGCGACGGGGGGTACCTGCAGCGCCCAGTCTTCCTCTCCTCTCTGCTGCTCGCCCCTGGGGAGCGATACGATATTCTGGTGGATTTTGCTGCAGCGCGCCAGGGCGGTGCGTGCCGGGATGTGATTGTAACGAATGATGCTGCTGCGCCATTTCCAGGCGGCGAGGCGGTGGATAAGAACACAGGAGTGGTGATGCGGTTCGTCATCCTCAACCGGACTCCCTTCACGGCTCCAGCAATCCCCAAGAGGATAGTTGTACGTTCGGTGCTGCGTCTCTTCCTCCCCGCCCCTTTCCACTGTCCCCCCCTTCCCTCTTCGTTGCTCTCGTCCTGCCTCTCTCTCTACCCCTTCCTGCTATTGCATCCGCTCTCGTGATGTCTCGCTCTAGAAACCTCCACTCACTCCTTCTCTCCCCTACTCTGCACCCCCCCTCGCATATCCCACCCAGCCTGTCCCCTCTATAGACTTCTCCAAGATACACAGAGTGCGCTGGAAAAAGCTAGTGGAGGAAGTGGACCCTAAGAGCGGCATGCCAGTGCGGGCCACCCTAGACGGGCTCCGCTACATGGACCCACCCACCGAGATCCCCATCCAGGGCTCCAATGAGCTCTGGCACATCATCAACCTCTCGGCCGACGCGCACCCCATTCACCTGCACCTGGTGCAATTCCGGGTCGTTTCGCGTCGCGCTTTCGATGTCGAGTCGTACCAGGACAACGAGTGCTCGTTCACCAGTCGGAGCAAGCCCTCGTGCTACACTGCGCCGGAGGTTAAAGCCTTCAAGAACGAGATCGGGTGGAAGGACACGGTGCCGGCATTCCCAGGAGAAGTGCTCACATTCTGGGTTGGCTGGTACGGACAGGTGAGATTATTGACTACAACGGGAGTGGGGAAGTGGGGCGGGGGTTGGCGGTGGGGGGGGAAGGGAGGTATGGAGGTGGGAGGAGATGGAGCAAGGAGGGAAGGGGGTTTTGGTGGTTGTGGTTGTAGATCCTTCGAGCCACACACATGGCACAACCACACTACTCACTCTGTCTCCCGCAAGCTCGTGCTAAATGGCTCACACTCATACTCTTCTCGCCTCACATTCGCGTCTTCCTCCTGCGCTGCTACTCTGCCTGTGCCCCTCCCTACATTCAAACCAGGACGGCAAGCCCTTCGAGTTTGACCCTACCTCTGGCCCTGGCTATGCGTGGCACTGCCACATACTGGATCACGAGGATAACGACATGATGCGCCCGCTTCAACTGCGCAAAAAATAGCCTCTACTACCACTAATGACAATAACGAGTGGGAACCATGGCGTTCTTACACTATCAGTGCGAAGCCCCTGATCTACACTTTCTAACCGGACAGTAATGTAATTAGCCATAGCAATGTGGTTGTAATCTAATATTATACGATTGTTATAATGGGCCCCAGATCTCGAATACGCTACGAAACGCCGGGGGACTCACTCTCGAGACAGTTTTCATCACCACTCCGCAATGTTCCTCTCATAATGGCAGCAATGCCGCAAATTACACAACAGAAAACGGTCAGCAGCAGCAGCCAGTCAGCCCGTCAGGTAACTTTGCCCGTCAGTCAATGTCCGTCAGCACTACTAATTCCTATCGCCGAGCAGAAGCAACTATGCTTCTCTAAGTACTACTTGCGGGGCAACAATCATTGTCAGCTATCTGACAAGCCCACAGTTAAATCTAGCAACCAGCAACCGCTCACTGCAGCTTACTTCACCACCTTGAACGGCCGCATCATATCATTATCCTCGTGGTCCAGCATGTGGCAGTGGTACACGTACCCCGGCCCCACTGACGCGTCAAATGGCAGCGGCCTGCCGTCATTATCCTTCCACCCAGCCCACAGCGTGAGCACCTGGCCCGGATACGCGGGCGTCGTGTCCTTCCACCCCCTCTCAGTTGGATCCACGGGAATTCTAGGGCTCGTCCAGCACGCGGGCTTGCTGGCGGATTTCCGGAACGAGCACCTGCCAGCCTGGAACGCGGCCACGTCAAACGCGCGCCGCGCGATCGGACGGTGGTCGATCAAATGGATGTGAAACGGGTGCGCGTCGGCGGAGAGGTTGATGATGTGCCAGAGCTCGTTGGAGCCCTGCTTCGGGAAGTCCCTGACGGGGTCGGAGAACCCCAGCTTGTCGATGGTGACGCGGATGGGGACGTTGGTCTTGGGGTCCATTATCTCGACGAGGCTGTGCCAGCGAACCCGCTGGATGTCCCTGAAGTTGATCCGCGGAATGTACTGCACGGGACGAGGGAAAGGGGGAGGAGAGACGATGCCTAATCGCGATTAACAGGTGCCGGGACTCTCCCGGAGGGAAGAAACGAGCTAAGAAGCCGTCCACTAGACTTACCGAAATCTGGCTAGGGATTTTAGGAGCGGGGAAGCGCTCGCGATTGGTGACCACGAAGCGCATGACGAGCCCAGTGTCCCAATCAGCGGCGACACCCGCCGGATAAGGCGCCGGAGCGGAGTTTTGGAGAATGACGTCAGTGCAGGTCGAGGGCAGGTTGGAGAAATCCACAAGAATGTCGTGCCGCGCACCGGGGGTGAGGAGCAGCGATTTTATGTACACGGGCTTGGCGTGGTAACCACCGTCGCTAGCAATCTGCGACCAGAAGAAATGGTTCACGAAACCGAGAGTCAGTCAGTTCAGTTCGCTACCCATGATTCCCCGCTCAACACGGGAAACAAAATAATTCAGGTTTCAGGGGTTCTCACTCGTAACCAGTGCTGTTTATTTGACAGTGGACGCTCGATTGGTACATTACCTCGATAATGTCGAGAACCTTCCCCGAGAGAGGCGGCACGAAGTTGGGGTAATCAGCGCGCTGCGCGCAAACGAACTTGAGCTCGTAAAAGCGCGCGCTCGACGCGCCCAGCACCTTGAAACGGTAGAGCGCCGGGCGAACCTTGAGGTACGGCCAGACCTGCGAAACGAAGGATAGTCACGTCGTCACCAAGCAGCGGTTATGTTATGACCCTCAAAGTCCCTGCCGCTCGGAATGCAAATACATGAACTCCGATACAAGCCCCGCAACGAACATCATTCCAGTCGCTCGATGCTTATAACCGATGCTCCCGAGACTTACCACGCCGTTGACCATGTTAGTGTCGCCGATGTACTCGGGGATCCAGTTGGGGTGCACCCATGGAACGATCCCCACGTTCGGGTAGTTGATCGACCCGTTCGCGAAGAACAGCCGATCCGCGATCGCGAGCGGAACCGTACGGCTGGCAGGCGGCAGCCAGGTGAACTTGGACTCCACCTTGGGATCCGTTATAAGGTATAAGCCTGCCATGCCGGCGGCGACATTAAGGCGGGTGATCCCGGCCATGTGGTCGTGGTACCAGACGGTAGAGGCTTCGTCGTTGACGTACTTATAGTCGTTGGAATAGTACGTAGGGCCTTTCTCGCCGTACTGGGTGAACCACGCGAGGGGATGGCCGTCGTAGTAGCTCTGCTGGCTGCCTCCGTGGCGGTGCACCACTGGAGGGGAGAAGAGGGGACGACCGAGTACGAGAGGGGACGACCGAGAACGTGAGGGGAGACGAGAGGCGGAAAGCATGACCAGACCGAAAGTTACTCTCCTATGCTTTGCTATCGGTATTCACGTTTCCAAGGTACCCTGCAGGGCGCAATTGCTGCACGTGCCGATGGAATGCCAATGCCGATGGGGAACTTGTAGCCCATGATGAGCGTGGGATCGACGGTGGACGTGTGCATGTTGTCGAGCAGGTGGTGCTCCCACGTCACCGTCGGCATACGAGGGTAATTGCCACGTGCAATGGGGATGGCACATGGTGACGCTCTTACCGATAGGAATGCCCTTTTTGGGGAACTTGTAGCCCATGATGAGGGTCGGGTCGACGGTGAACATGTGCGTGTTGTCCAGCAGGTGGTTCT